ATCATAAAAAGCTTTCTTCGCGCAAGGGAAAATTCACAGTAATTCGGGTAATGTTAGTTTAATTTATTAAGTTTAATTAAATATTGTTTTGATTTAACTAAGGTTAAAACAAATACGCCACCAATTCACTACTACGATGTAGCCCAAGCAGCACAAATTGTAATTTTGTACGAGGAAGGATATACACAAAATGATATCGCACGACGTCTCAGGAGAATTGTGCACAGAAGGCCCACTGTGCACAACCGCAATTGATGGCGGTTTTTTGGTTTTAATTCTACACGAAATTTCTCATCGACATCGATGCACCTCAGAAATGAGCCACTAAATGTTAGACAAGGTAATGTAAGTTAACCAGTTACTGCCAAACCAGTTACTACTTAAGTTACTGCCAAAATTCCACTTCTTCTACAAAATCATAAAGTTTGTCGTTTAGCATTTGCAAGAACACATATTGAGTGGAATATCGACAACTAGAATAATGTTCCTTTCACTGATGAGACCAGAATCCTATTACGGAAACCAGCTGGTCGAAACCACGTCTACAGAAGAGTTAGGGAACGATTCATCAGTTGCAATTTCACCCAGACTGTTAGTTTTGGAGGTGGTGGTATAATGCTTTGGGAAGGTATTAGTTGGAAGGCACATGTAGAAGTGATTGTATGGATGACTGGTGACTCTTATGTTCAAAAGATCCCGCAAAATCATGTTTTCCCATATGTTGGTTACATTGGATATGACAGATTCATGTTAATGCACGATAATGCTCGACCACATGCCGCTACCATAGTAAGTAATTACCTTGATGGGGTCCAAATTCGAAGATTGGTTCAGCCACTCTTTTGTCCAGATTTAAACCCAATAGAGCACATGTGGGATCAACTAAAATGCGGCAGATGACAAAGAAATCCTGTCCCAAATACGATAAAGCAGCTTCGGCTTGCTGCACAGGATTAATGAAATACAAATTAAATTAGTATTTAAGTTTAGAGTAAAATAATCGTATTTACCATTTAACATTAAGTATAATTTTTTTTGCAATTTTCTTTGCATAAAAACTTAAAGTTGTACATTGAACATTGTTACAATAAACTCTTCTTGACAATAAACGAGTTAATTGACCAGAATTTATTTTCAAAAAACAAAAAATTTGAAAATTCCAAAATATTCGATATCTTTGAGTGTATTTTTGCTTTTAACGTTTGTTTCTATCTATAATCTAATCTAGACTGTATGAATTGCTCTATTTTTATGATATTATAACGGTGAATCTTTATTTCGGAATCACGACGAAAAGTGCCAAAAAGTCACTAAAAACACTCAGACAAAAAAATATTTGCTCTGACGTATATTCGATTATATTTTCATTGCTAATTTTTTATTAAAACACTAATGAGTATTTCAGCCTCTGAAATATTATAAAACAAGAGACACATTCATTATTATTATTTTATTATATATCACATATCAAATATTTATATCGTCTAATTAGTGAATTCTAAAATTGTATTACAGCATCCAACATTGTACTAGTATTCAAATCTTATGAAATATCTTCTGTAATACATTCTAGACTTGGCAATGACAACTATTTTCTAATTTTGTGTTAGCAACATGTGTGTCAGCTGTTGTTTTTTTAAACTAATAACGAGCTCGTGAAAATTCACTCTCCAACAAAAATAAAAATGAATGACACACCTGTATTATCTACAAAACGATTCTCCTAAAAGTATGATATTGGAAAAGCAGACGAGATTACGTACTTTAACAATTATGGAAATAATGACGGTTATATGCATTCATTACTTAAGGAAGACAATATATAGAAGTTAAAAATTAGACACCATATAATAAATACAGGAGATAAAGTGACAAAGATAAGATTGGTGCACAAATTGGCAGTTCTTTTCCCTCTAACTTTATGTCTGTATTGAGATAGCGTCTCTTGTCAGAATTCTATAAGTATATGGTAGATAGATCTCGTCTCTTTATTGATGTGACTATAAAGATTAACTGTCTCTCAACGTCTTTTCTTCGTTATTTCTTACTTTAGTGTCATATAGGTAACTTATTACACTTTAAAAACATTGATTCACATCGTTTATTTTGAGAATAGTATTTCTCTTCCTCCTTATCTCTCTTTGTGTAGCTTCATAACCCATCGTGGGTGTTTGCTTCCTGTATGATTTGCATCCATCTACTTCGTCCATCATATCTCCTCTCGAATCTTGTATTTCCATGGCATTTTAAGATGTTATCCTTCTATTAGAGTATAGGCCTCTCTTGCCGACTGGATTCTCTACTTAAACGGATAAGCCTGAACGGCTTATCCATTTGATAAGCCATTGGAAAAGACTGGAACGTGGAAGCAATTTGACACATTACGTCGATGCTCTGCGACTGATATGGATATATCTCATTTTCTCTTAATGGATGTCCTACTTCTTTTTGTTGTGACTTCAATTTTCTCTTTGTTTTGGTGGACTACTTCCTAGTGTCTAGATCTAGCACTACGTTAAAAAGTAGTGATGTTAGCCCATCACGTTGTTTTAAACCATTATTAATACATTAGCCATTGAATTCGCGATACATACGTTAGTTAAATTAATAATCTTACTTGGTACTCCTATACTTTCCATGGTCATTTACACGGTGCTCATTCACTCTCTTCCAGCAGTTTTCTAATAATAAATAATTGATCTACTGGTGATCTTCTCGGTCGAAGCCACACAGTTTTCATCTATCTAGCGGTTTATTTTATTTTTCAGTATATTTGATAGCACCTTGTAAGTTACGTTGACAAGATATTTAATTATCTACTTCACACAACTGCTCTCGTTCATGTTTTTTGAGTTGTGTTATCACTCCCAGCGATTTACTTAGCTTTGTACAATTAAATAATAACAACGAGCTTCTAAAACATGGAGGAGAAAGTATAACCCTAGAGACGACAAAACCTATACCAATTCTAATATTGCACTGCAAGATACCAGACGCATGGAGAAACAGTATAATGATACCAATGTTCAAGAAAGGAGATAAAGAAGACTCCAACAATTATAGAAGTATATATCTACCGAATACCGTACTTAAGCTTACCACAAAAATACTAACCAACAAAATCAATAAACTGACTAATAATTTTTCAGATAAACAATAACAATAACCAATACATCTACAACAAACCAGCATATCTATGTTTTATAGACTTGATAAAGGCTCTCGATTGCATCCAAGTCGAAGACGTCTTACACCTACTGTATAAAAAAACCTACTAATCAATATTATACAAACCATCGAAAACATCTACTTCCACAATCGAATACAGGCAAAGATAAATGGAAAACTAAGGGAGAGCGCCCACCAAAGTGGCGTAGCAAGTAGCAAGTAGCAAACAAGAAGTATTGGGAGACCAAGAAAAAGTTGGTGCGACAATTTAAACAATTTAGGAGGCTAATATTGAAGAAGAAACTAGCTTTAAAGCCTACATACTAGAAGGAAGAAGCAAGAAGAAGAAGACTAAATAATTTAAGAATATTCGTGATATTAATTATAGATAAACTCACAAGCTAGATGAACTATGTGTTGGTTGAAAGTGCTTGAAAAATTCAAATTATAAAATTTTTAAAAACTGCAATAATCGTAATAGCGCGATTCAATCAGACATGCTTTCTACCTCAACCGATTTATACAGCATAAACGGAAATGTTTACTAATGTAAATTATAATAAAATACACGACATACGTATTTTGATAGGGCTACAAAATTACTTCACGCGAACAAATTTGATTTAAAGACTTTTAAATGACATCATCGGTATACAAGAAATGTTAGGAAATGTTTTTCTTCTTCTCTTCTTCTTCTTCTTCTTATTCTTCTTCTTCTTCTTCGTCTAGCTATTCACGTCCACATCTGAACATAAGCCTCTTCAAGTCTTCCTTTCCATTGTTTTTTATTGTACGCTACTTGTAGCCAATTTTCCCCGGCAGTCCTTTTCAGATCATCTGTCCATCTCATAGGAGGTCTGCCTCTGGGTCTTTTGTGTTGGTATGGTCTCCAGGTTAAAACTGATCTGTGCCATTTGTTTATATCGCTCCTAGCTACATGTCCAGCGTATTCCCATTTCAACTTTAATGATTTTTGCACCACATCGGTGACTTTGGTTTTCTGTCTTATCCATGTGTTTGTTTTCTTGTCCTTAAGTGATATACCTAGCATTGCTCTTTCCATCGCGTGTTGAGTGACTCTAAGTATATTCATATTCTTTTTGTGATTGTCCATGTTTGTGCCGCATAAGTTAATATCGGAATAATGCATGCATCAAAAACTTTAGATCTAAGATGTAATTGGATTTGTTGATTTCTGAGTATATAGTTCAGTTTACCGAATGCCGCCCAAGCTAACTTTCTTCTTCTTTTTATTTCTTCAGTTTGAATTTCCCTATTTAGTATTATTTTTTGTCCTAAGTATATATATTCTTCAACTTTATCGTTTATTATTGTCACGGTGTCTTCGGAGTGCATGACTTTTGTTTTGTTTAAATTCATTTTCAGTCCTATTTTAGAAGATTCGGTATGTAGTTCTAAAAGCATGGTTTGTATTTCTTGTAGGTCAGTAGCTATCAGGATTATGTCATCTGCAAATCGTAGATTACTGAGGTAGTGGCCATTGATGTTTATTCCTTTATATTTCCAATTTAGGTTTTTAAAAACGTCCTCCAAAACTAAGGTGAACAGTTTGGGTGATAAAGTATCTCCCTGTTTGACTCCCCTGTTTAATGGTACAGGGTTCGTGTGTTCATTTTCATTTAGGTAGTATGTAGCTGTAGCTTGGTTCATAGTTTGGAACTTCCAGTAGTTGGAAATGTTTTTAATAATTAAAAAAGATAAAATGATTATATACATTTGAAATTTTGTAATATTTGCAATAATTGTTTATATGAAACTAAATATTTATCTTTATAATGTAAAAAGACTAAAGATATGTTATTGAATTTCAGTTGAGGATAGATAAAGACGGCCATTCATATTTTGCGACCCTTGAAATAATCGATGTCACGGTAGAGGATGCTGGCAAATACAAGGTGACCGCAAAAAATGACTTGGGAGAAAGTAACGCCACAATCAGCCTCAACTTTGACAGTAAGTGTTTTTGTTCCGCTTCTTGTATCTGCTTTGTGTGTCCTTTTGTCAGCCTCAGCCGTCCAGTACTGATTTTGAGAATTGGAAGCAATAAGCAAAAGCAATAAGCGAATAACCATAGAATTAACTGAATAATCATAATCACAATCATAGTCATGATCAGATCAATTGGATCAATCAAGTAGTCAGATCTAAATTTATAGACTAAAGCGTAAGAGACACATGTGATACCAGCCTTTATAGCAACAGCCGCAGTAGCTAATTGATAGTTGTTGTAGTTCCTTTCTTCCTAATTTTGTCTAATCTTGATATAGTAAAAGCTTCTTCGGCTTGCAAAACATACAATCCTCACAAGCATCCAATAAATACACATACAACACCTACACTATCTTTTTAATAAATACACACAGTCCTAAGCAATTTCTTCCCTACTAAACTCTCGAATAGCAGCAAGTTACGGACAAGTAAGTCAGCCACTCGTGCACAGTACAATGGACTAACCGATGCTTAATCTCAGCTCAGCTTTTAATATGCAGTTTTAACAAATCATTTCTAATTAATATGTACATTAAAAATATGGATCTCGTTTTGTGTGAATTAAAGCTTAGAATAGACCGAGTGTAACACTTCGCAATCTACTTTTGCGAACTGGCTACCCTCTAATAATAAGTACCTGGCAGACACAGTGTGGCTGGATTGAACGTTTCAGTTTTTTTAGGCCAAACTAAGAACTATGAGGAACCTACCACCCGCATCATCAACACTTTTGTTTTGTTAACAACATTTAATACTAAGTCTAAGGCCATGTTCTTGCAAATGTGACACTTTTCTTTCAGAGTTGTAATACAAAAAATTCAATAAATATCTCTTTCACTCTTTAACACGATTGAATGATTAAAAGCTGAGCTTTTTATTTTTCGGTAAGCATTGTTAGTTGCGCGAGTGTTGCTGGCTGTCCTGTGTCTTGATACAGCCAGTTTAGGAGAGTTTCTGCTCACTAGGCGATGAGGCACCTGTGCCGGAAAAGGAGGGCATCAGGCCAACCTTCACGGAGAGACCACTCATCAGGCAGACGGAAGACGGTTCCACCATCACCTTCCTGTGTCGCTGCGTCGGTGAACCCAAACCAGAAATACAATGGTATGTATATAAAAAAAATAAACATCTAATCCTTTCAACAGCAATAATAGATAATAGTAGTTACCATTATAATACGAATACGAATTTGCTTATAATTACGTCATTACATAAATATTCTTGTTACGCACTTCATTAGGTTCCACGGAAAGGAAGAAATCAAACAGAATAGTCGGTACTCGATGTCTATGGAAGTCGATGAGAAGATCTACTACCTGGCACAACTGCAAATAGCCAACGTCAAAAGAAATGATCGTGGAGAGTACCGCGCCGTTGCGAAAAATCGATTTGGTCAAGGCGTCGCTACCATCAACTTAAATTTCGAGGGTATAGAAAAACCCAAGTAAGACAAACACCTATATACTTCATACCTAGATACGATTATTTCTGTCTCTCTTATAGAATACCCGACGGAAAGGCGCCGAGGTTTCCCAAAAAGCCAACCATCAGACAAGAAGGCGATGTCCTCATCATGGAGTGTCTTCTTGAGGCACATCCCGACCCCGATATAACGTGGTTTCAGAGCGAGAAGAGCATCGCGGATAGCCCGCGAGTACGCATGCTCCGAAAAACCACTTGTAAAGACACTTATCTTCTCACTTTAGAGATCGCAAATCCCACTCGCGAAGATGGCGGACATTATAGATGTAACGCTTTCAATGAATTTGGTGAAAGCAATGCAAATATTGCATTGAACTTCCAAGGTATGCTGCGTCCAGGAACTGTTCAATCTGTACAATTACTATGTATCTGTATTATGTGTCTGTGAAACGTCCAATTCCGTTACTCATTTCCACTTTGTTCCAGTGACGTCTTGCCACAACCAACACTCTGTCTTCGAACCTGTGTTACTGTCATTTTGCATGAGCATGGCCTTTGATATCATCACTTACTTTTAGAACTTCCCTAACTTATTTGTGTTACAGGTGGAGATAGCGCTGATGGCTTTGCGCCTTCTTTCCTTGAGAAACCCAAAATCATACCTAATGAGAGTGGCACTCTCATTACTATGAAATGTAAATGCAAAGCTAAACCTAAACCTGACGTCACGTGGTTCCGCGGAACCACCGCCGTCAAGGAATCTTCCAAAATTAAAATCCAGATCGTTGATCTCGAAGAAGACAAGTTCGAATTGTCCTTAGAAATCAAGGTTTGTTCTTAACTAATTTTTAACACTTACAACCAATCCGAAAGGAATTTAAAAAAGACATTTATTTTTTTCATCCTATTATAGAAAATGTTTTGAAGTATCTTACAAAATTACCTGCTGTTGAACATGTAGTATTTTTAGCTATATACTTCTCAGCATTTATTATGAATTTGATGGAAAAACTATGAAGATTTTAGAAATATAAACTGATTCATTCATTTATAGGATCCATCGGCAGCTGATGGGGGTACTTACAGATGCCATGTAAAGAACGAATACGGAGAAAGCAACGCAAATCTGAACTTAAATATCGAAGCAGAACCAGAACCAGAAGGAGAAGGACCAACGTTTGTCGAAAAACCCAGGATAACCTCACACGATGGAGGCAAACTCGTTGTCATGGAGTGTAAAGTTCGTGCTAATCCTAAACCCACCATAGTTTGGTACAGAGAAAGCAAAGAAGTCACAGAATCATCCAAAATTAAGATCAGTATTAAACAGACCGAAGAAGATATATATTACGTCAAACTGGAACTAAATGATCCGGGAATTGACGACTCTGGCTTGTACAAATGCAATATAAGGAACACGCTTGGTGAACTCAACGCCAACCTCACCTTAAACATCGAAATTATTCCTGTTATCAAGGAAAAACCCAAAGTTATTAAAATCGTTAAGAAGAAAACTGTTATTGTTGAATGTAAAGTTCTCAGTAAGTTTGCACCTGATTGTACATGGTTTAAGGAGAGTGAAGCCGTTAAAGAGGATTCCAGACATACCGTTCACGTCGACCAAGTTAAAGACGTAAGTATACATGCTTTATATATATTTTCTAATTTAAATCTTTCTTATTTTACCTCTTCGTCGCTGTCATCAACTTGTACCCGTATTGTTCCAGCAAATTGATTGGTAGATTTTGCCAGAATTTTCCAGCGTATTAATTTGATAGTTAGCACTTGACTTCTTTTTATGTATTTCTTTGTATTTTGTCTACAGTTTCTATATGTAGAGGTCATGTTTAATATTAAATATTATTTTATGCCTCGTAACCCTTTTCACAATGCGACCTGAAGTGTATGTTTTGTATACCTTACATCTATTTGTATGCTGTATTTAGGAGAGTTCATCATCATCATCATCCAGCCTCAAGAGTCCACTGCTGAATATATGCCTTCCTCAGTTTCCAACCCCTCTTAGGAGAGTTATTCCGAGGTAATTATGCATTCCGTTGGTTTCCCTTTTGTGTACGGCAAATTAAGCCTAATCTCCATTCGTTCAGACATTTGCTCCTCAGACCAAATTTTACAAAACCATTGGTGAGCTGCTCTCCACTCTGCTTAAATAACTCTGCTGAGATGTCATCGCTGCCTGGGGATTTATGGTTCCTTAGTTTTTCTATAGATATTTTCACTTCATCTACCGAGAGGGGTTCCACGAGTTCCTCATTTCGGTATTTCAGCTCTATATTGTTAGTAGGTTCCCCTTCCAGCAACTCTCGAAAGTGCTCTACCCATCGTAACAGGATATCCTCTTTGTTGGTAAGTAAGTTACCTTCCTTATCATTACAATAGTTGATTCTCGGTTTGAATTCTTTTCTAAACGCAGATTTAATCATCAATGACCAAAACTTCGAAGCAGTCAAAGAATTCATATATCTAGGAACATCAGTTAACCCCAATAATAACACATCTGAGGAAATAAAAAGGCGAATAATAATTGCAAACAGGTGTTATCATGGTCTATCAAAGTACTTAGCTAACAAACGTCTGTATAAAGGTTGTATAGATCACTGATAGTCCCCGTTCTCACATATGGATCAGAGCTAACTCTAACTAAAACAGATGAATACGCTCTATCGATTTTTGAAAGAAAGGTGCTACGCAAGATATTCGGAGCGGTCTGTGAAAACGGAATATGGAGGCGTAGATATAACTTTGAACTGCAGAATATCTACAAGCATACGTTTGGTGGTAAAGATATTACCATTATACTTAAGCGAAACCGCCTGCAATGGGCAGGTCATGTAGCTCGGGCCCCTGAATCGAACATAATAAAGAAGATTCTAACAGCGCAACCCGTGGGAATGAGAAGTCGGGTAGACCAAAGCTGAGGTAGATGGACGGGGTAACACAAGATGCCGAGAAGATCGGAGTCGGCAACTGGAAAAGGCAAGCAAGGGACAGAACAAAATAGCGTAGAAAGCTTGAGAAGGTCGAGCCTATTTTAATCATAAAAACAATTCAAATAGCACAAAATTCAACCCTACTTTCTATTGTTTACCAGAAGTTGAGGGTACATGCCTTGTAGACAAGATGGCAAGTGTAATGAGTTTCAACAATGTAAATAAATTGATACAAGGTTACGTTGTTGTAAAAATATGTTTGGTCCAACTGAGATGTTTTTAGGCTCTCTCAAACAGAAGATACTAATCTTCGATCTAATTATTTTTCTTGAGTATTTCGTACCACATCTTCAACATACGTAAGCAATACATTCATCTTATAATTTCCCTGTTATCTGACTTATCCTTAACAAAAATGTATAAGCCTATAATCTTGCGCGTACCTTGTATCATTTTTAGTTTTCACAATACTCATAAGTAATTAATTTAAATAATCCTTTATATTACTTTTAGGGCGAATTTACTGTTAAACTCGAAATTAATGAGGTTGAAAAAAGAGACAAAGGTATGTACAAATTAGTTGCTAAAAACGAAAAAGGTGAAGCAACTTCACAAGTTGTTGAAGTCACTGAGTTACCTCCAGATGAAAAACCCAAAGGAGACAAGCCAAAATTGACCAAACTAACCAATATCGTAAGTATTTTATTTTTTATTTTCTAATAAAATTTATTTATATATTTCTATAATGTATTTGTAGGTTACTGACGAAGGAAAATCAGTTGATTTTATAACTTCTCTCAAAATAGAAGACAAAACAGTCAAAATCACATGGTACAAGAACACCACTGTGATAACCGAATCTTCAGAAATCAGAATATCTTTTGATGGCACTGTGACGCGACTTAGCATTAATAAATGTAAAGTATCACATTCCGCTACATACAAGTGTGTTGCCAAAAACGAATTTGGCGAAGACGAAATAAGCGCTACACTAAAAGTAAACGAAGCTAAAGAGGAAGATGAAGAAGAAGAAGAATCAGAAGAGGTAAGAATTTGGTATAATGATAATAATATTGTTTTGGAAATATTTCCTTGTAGGACGCTAGCTTTTATCAAATATAGCGTTGAGAATAACATACCAGTCATACTTGTGATATATTTCTAACAAGAAATTTGATAAAAAATTATAGAATGATTTATTTTAATTGCAGGAGGTTATTGAAGAAAAGATAGAGGAAAAGAAAGAAGAAAAGAAAGAAGAAAAACAGGAAAAGAAAGTTGAAGAGAAAAAAGAAGAAAAAAAGGTAGAAAAGAGAGAAGAGAAGGTTGAAAAGAAAGTAGAAAAGAAAGAGGAAAAGAAAGAGGAAAAGAAAACAGAAGAAAAGAAAGCTGTTAAAAAGATAGAAAAGAAAGAGGAAAGAAAAGAAGAGGAGAAAATTTTAATTAAGGTATTTAACTACAATATACATGTTTTAAACTTTTTTATGTCCAAACTTGAATAATTAACTTTTTTTAATAGGCGTCTCTTATCAATTTTTACATATTTATTGCTTTAACGATGTTTTATTTTTGGTAGAAGGACGAAGAAAAGAAAAAAGACGAAAAGATTGTGGCCAAAAAGGAAGAGGTTAGTATGTGAGTTGTGTCGTATTGTCTTTGTTCTATTTGTTTGTATTTGTCCTCAGGAAAAGAAAGACGTTGAGAAGAAAATAAGACGTACATCGGTTCAACAGGTAAGGCCTTAATTATATTCTGTTAAAAATGCAAAAACATAAAACTTATAATTATCGTACAGTCAAACAATAACGTTTAGTTTTCTCTTCCTTAGTTCCTATATTTCTATCATCGCTTTAACTGTTTTATAGTACTCTGTTACATTCCGTGGTAAGACATAAGAATGGATGACTGTATGATATATCATAACTTTTATCCTACTTGCTAGTAATATGTATGGAACTTAAAATATAGAAAATACAAAATGTTAACTAAAAATCTTTACAAAACAGAACGAAGAAGTAAAAAGCGAATCACGCAGAAGCTCAATTATACAAACCGAAGAAAAAGTTATCAAAGATGGAAAAGTTAGTAGGAAATCTTCCATTTCAAAAGTCAATGAGGAGAGTAAGACTGAGTCCAGGCGCACATCATTAGTAGATGACAAGAAAAAGGTACTAAAGCTTTTTGCAATGTAAACAGCTTACAGAACCCTTAAAATTTTGGGGTGAAAATTTCTCGAAGCAATAGCAAAAGCTAAACTTAACTTTTTTGAAGAGACTATAGTGCTGTGTTTCCAGCAAACTTTTTCACAATGTCACTCTCTTTTCCTCTTCTTTCTGTCTTGTATTCACACGGTGGTCTTTTTACACATCTTCAGTTCACCCATAATACCCATTCCAGAATTCTGGACCCTGTATCAGCTTGTACAGATCTAGAGATGGTATCATTATGTTTTTGAATCACTGATATCACCGAAAGTGGCATGTGATCTAATGACTCCAGTCATGCCATATACGGTTGACTGTTGCAACCTTCTGCTGCTAATATTGCATCTTAAGTCTTCTTAAAACAATCCATCGTATGCAGGCGTTTCTTGACTGGCATATATCGAGTATGGAAGTCTATTATGACTCTTAGCTGATTTCTGCTTGTTTTCCACAATACTTTAGCCCTATTAGCACATGTCTGCAAAATATACATTTGTCTTGAGTTTGAACTGTATATATTTTCCCTGTGAGAGTTATGTTGGCTTGTTGTTTTTCCAGTCTCAAACGATGCTTTTACATACATTCGTTTACATAAATATTCTGTAGCTAATGTTCTAGTAAATTTATCAGCTTTATTGAATCTTCTTTTCGGGCACCTGTTGTTGTTGCAAAATTCTTGTATTTATCATCTTCTTTACTACAATATTTTATTTTTGTATATATTTGGTAGGGTTCCTTTATATGATTTGTCAATGCCTTAGTTGTTCAGAGCTTATATTACTATATTAGGATATATAGTGTAGAAACCCTTCTTGAATGTCTTTAAAAATGAAAATTAGGCTAGCGTTTATATTCTTAGGCTCTGCTAATCATTTCTTAAAGCGATTGGTTATGACCCAAGGTAGTGAATCAACTTCTGAAACCATCTTGTTGTCTTGGTTGCACAGCAACTACATTTTTGTTACTCTGTTATATAATACTATGCCTATGCTTTAGAATTGGCTGCTAGTCGCAAATTTTTTCGAACTTTTATGTAAGACAACTTTAATAACATATTCATGTATTCTTTAGATAACCAAAGATACCAAAAAATTGGAAACCACAAAAGAAGTGGTGAGTATTTGGTTGATAAGCTACTAGCAACATTTTTCATGTATTTATTCCATACTTGCTTTTACAAAACACATAATACATGTATTTATTTATACACAGAAAACCCCTGACACACCACTCAATCACATTGAAGATAGTTTCCAACAAGCTACGGATACTAAAAAGGTACCAGAATCCAAACCTGAAGACAAACCCAAGCCAGAACCCACCAAAACACGAGTAGAAGAGAAAACCAAAATTGAGATTAAAAAAGAGGTCGAAAAGAAATTGGAAAAACCAAAAGAGCCAGAACCAGAAAAGCCTAAACCGAAAAGTGACAAATTAGCGCCACTTAAAACTGCCACTAGAAAATCCCTTACACCTGAACCCGAGAAGTCCAAACTTCAGGAACAAAAGGTATCTCCAACAAAAACCCCTACACGGAAATCCTTAACTCCTGATCCTGAGAAACCACAAGACAAAACCAAACCAACAGATGAACCTTTAAGTCCTCCAAAATCTCTTACACCAGAATCAGTATCTAAACCAAAAGATGAAACATTAGTTTCACGTAAATCCATATCCGAAAAAACTGTAGATGAACCCCAACCTAAAGAAAATACCCTGTCTACAAAAACAACTCCAACCAAACTCCTAACTCCAGATGCTGGAAAACCCCAACCTAAAGAAGACAAATTACCTTCTTCCCTCACATCTCCTCGTACTTCAATAACTTCAGATCTCAAAAAATCTGAAGAAAAACCACAACCAAAGGAGGACAAATTGCCCTCTTCACTTAAATCCCCTCGTACATCAATAACTTCAGAATCCAAAAAAGCTGAAGAAAAACCACAACTAAAGGAGGACAAATTACCTTCTTCACTTAAGTCCCCTCGTACATCAATAACTTCAGAACCCAAAAAATCTGAAGAAAAAACTCAACTACAGGAGAGACAAATCGCCACTAACACAAACAACTCCACGCCATTCCTTGACCCCTGATCCTGACACAACTACAAACAAGCTTACACCTACACAGAACAGATTAGGCCCATCCTTGATCATAGAACCAGAAAAACCAAAGCTTTTCGAGAAAGTCGAAAAGCCTAAGGAAGAAAATAAACTCCTAACACCTCAACCTATCGAAAAGAGACAGCCCCAAAAATCAGAATTAACTGTCCTGAATCTGGAAGAGAGACGTGCGTCTCTGAAGAAGGTATACACTATTTTCCTGCATAATTTTATTGCACTGATTTTATACAAACTATGCACTAGCGCTGTGATGGACCCAAACTCGCTTTATACATTGTGCCGTCTTTCTCTTTATTTTTTAATGAAATGCTCCAGTATACAAGGTAGATTTGACGCTTACTATAGCACTGCCACCAAATACTAGCAACTACTTTCCATTTAGTTGCTGGCTGAATGAAAATGATTAAGTAAATAAACAAAATTTTCATTTTGAATGCAAATAAATTTTACGACCTAATAATATTACTAGAAAAAAAAAACAAATGACAAATTCAAACAAATATTGCTTTGAAACTGTACTAGAAAGTAACACACTATTGTAGCAGTACTGTTTGGAAGGTACTAGCTTGTATTTAACAAAAGTGAAGGAAACCAAGAATTTTCTATATGAACGACGTCATTTTGAGTCATCATCTGTAGTTATGGATTAAAAAATATGTTTTTGTTAAAATATTGTCCTGACTTCCCAAAAAAACATTTTGCATTTCATTAAAAAATAAAATAATAGGTAATTCAATGATTTTAAAACATGAGAATGGCTGTCAAGATTAAAGTATTTCGATATTCTTTTAAAGCTATCCTAATATGCACGTTTCAGAGGATTATGATTTTTAGAGTTAAGATATACAGGCGAATAAGTTGATTGGCTTATATATATTTAGAATTAAATACTAGCATGCTCTTTCAAGCAAGCCTAAATAAGGAATGAAGCTATTCTTCAACTTCAGCTCTATTATCAATTATATGCACGATATTTCAATTTGTATACAAAAGTTTTCAAAAGCTAATAATAATCTACTGAATTATTTTTTATATTCTTCATCAAAACAACAGACAATTATTAATAGAAATATTATTAGAAAAGCGATAGTTTTTGAAAACTTTCATAGAATCTCTATCTGTAAATAAGCTTGGAAAATAATATTAAGACAATCCATTTTGTTTCATGTTGATTTGTGTTGTCCGTATATGTGATACTTCAGTCAGAAGAAAAGCAGGAAGTACCAGAAGTTAAAAAGGTAAGTTTTATGTAACCCTACACAATCTCCTTACAAGAAAAACCCTTCCCTTGTGTACATCAACATGAAACAAACATTTCCCAAATCTAATTAACTTTGGGTCCCGCTGTACATGAAGCTCTTTCCCTTATGGTTGATATTTTGCAAAAGATAAGAATTGTTCAACGTCGTGTTGAACCATAGTCACAAATATACTAATACATGTTAGATTTTTAAGACTAAAAATAATGCAAATCTGTATACATATATAAAACTCGATTGATAAAGCTAAAAATTTTGGGTAATACGGTAATACGATAAAAACTGAAGACGCAATAACTGATTTTTATACATGAATTAAACATTGTAGTTTGTCTAAAAATGTCTTTATTTAAATACAAGCTCTACATCATTGTTTATATTGCTAGCAATCTACCAACTACATGAGACAAGTTATTTGAAACATACTTAGTTGATAGTAGGTATAATTGCATTCAAATCTTAGATCTTTTGCTCAATATCGCCCAACACACAAAACAATTTATTGGCTTTACACCATAATCAAAATTATTTTAATCACTCAGCTGGATAAACCTAAAAGGGTAATACCCCCTAAAGAAGAAGCTAAAAAGGGTTCGTTCTTGAACATTCAATTGAAACCAGTTCAATCAGAGGGTAAAAAAGCTGAAAAGGCGAATAAACTCGAAGTTGACTTGAAGGTAAAAATAAAGGAAGATCTTCTCCTCTCGCAAATACTTTTTTCTCTTTCTCTCTGTTATATGTTCTTCAAGCTAACAATTATTATCTTCGCCTTCTTACATAATGTCTTCATTTTCAAATATGCCTAAACTATATGAATATTTGTGTATTGTGTCTTTTCAACAAACTAACAATTCTTCTTTCCTACTTACTTTATTATTTTATGTAAACACTGAAACTTTTCTATAGCTTACTATCCTGTCGCAACGTGTTCAATGTTAAATTTTTATCATCTATTTTCATGTTAAAAGATACTGCTAACACATTTTCTTCTTACTTTATCTACTTCTTTGGTGACTAACTATATTTCTTTTTATTGTACTCTGCCTATTCTATTTAACAACTGTGTGACTGTGTTTTCTGATTATCAACGAGGTTGATGTTACTATTACTAACCAAAAAATATCTTTCTATTCTCTTCATTCTATTTTTTCTCTTATTATCTTTGTATTTCTTCATTATTATTTACATTATCTTCACTTTCTCTATCATCAGCTATAAATATGTTATATAACTAACTCTTCCAATAACTATCTATAAAAGTTATTTGATGAAAAATGTGATTAACTAAGTATGTTAGATCTTAAATTAATGTTTTTTAACTTTCACTGCATATACAGGGGGTTTCAAAAAGGTATGTCATAAATTAAATCACTCAATCCGGGGACAAAAATAATTTGATTAAATGCAACTTACCTTAGTACAAAAGTGTACGCAAAATAAGTTACAGCCCTTTGAAGTTACAAAATAAAAATTGTTTTTTTTGTATTATCTCCTTAACTACTTTACATTTTGTAATAAAAATGGACACGTTACTTTCTTGGTGTGAAAACATTTTTAATAAAAAAGAAACAACAAAATCTAAGCGCACAGAAAAATTTTAAGGGGGTGTGCAGCACAAAATCCCCCCAAACTTTTGAATACGTTCAAATCAAATGAATTTTGTGGCATAATTAGTTTAAACACATTATTTTTAAAAAATTTTTGCCTCATCACTTTTTTCAAAAAACAGTTTTTATTGAGTTACGGCCCTTTTCAATAACCTTTAAAAAATTACGTGCAACTAAATAAATGGCTTAAATTAATTAACAAGTACAAAAAATGTTCAAAATGATATAACAATAAATGTTCAAAATGACCCCCATTTTCTTCAATACACATTCGATATCGTTTTAATAAGAAAAACCGAATGCGCTCAAAAATCATATTTTTCTGACGAAATTGATTTGCAGCTTCAATTATTCTAACCCTCAATTGTTGTTCGTCCTCTATTGTTACAGACACTTTCTCTTTCATAAACCCCCAAAAACAAAAGTCCATGGGGTTAAGACCTGGACTTCTGGGTGGCCAAGAAATAGGTGTGTCACGACCCTTCCCATCTTGTAGAAACCCATATTTTGCCTTATTGCAATATTCACTTCTTCAAATACTCTTGTAAATCGTTTGCCAAGAACTGCAAATAATTATCACCATTTAAATTGTTGGGAAGAAGGTAGCCTCATCCGTAAACAAAATATTTCTAATAAAATTAACATTTCGAGTCTTTTCCATTAACAACCAATCGCAAAATCCAATCCTTTTAGGATAATCTTGTAGCGTTTTAAATTTTTATAATACGTTCCTGTTCGTTTATCTCGTCAGTACGCATAAAGATTGCCATAAAATCTATGTTTGTCTTTTACGAAAATCTTAAATGCGTAAATAAAGCTGGATATATTTTTTGTCTATGTGTACTTTCAAATCCCATAACCTTTTGTTACAAAGTCAGGTAGAACTTATTCCGGTTAGAATAATCAATAATCAGCTCTCCAACAACCAACTGAGTGCCGTACGCACTTGTTTCGATTTATTTTGTTTGCCCAATCTTCTCCCCTATGTTCTTACCCTGAAGTAAGCAAAATAGTCGTTACAATCTTCAACCAATAACTCTTGAACCGTTGTTAAATGATGCAATGATGGGTTTAAGCAGCTGATCCTTCAAACGCCTCCAAACCCTTACGTGAGGAACATTTAGTTTAGCAGCTCTTACCCTTGTACTTGTTCCAGGGACTTCTTCAATGATTTTAAAATGTCTTCATTAGTTGCATCCATTATTGGACGACCACTGTTGCTAGCAACTTGCGATTTTAATGTATCCGTTTTCCTTAAACGACGATCAATGGTCAGAAATAATCGTCTATCGGGTGTATTTTCATTGGGGTATTTTACCGCATAACGCCTTGTGGCTGCTGCACTGTTTCCTTGACATTCACCTACAATATTCCCGATAGTTTATTGAAATCATAATTTAATCTAATCGAACTTATCCAAAGCTAAAAGCATATCTGCCATTTCCTAAAATGTATAGGCTGTTGTATTATCAAAATTTTTAATATTAATCTTATTCACACAATAAATGATAGATGGAACTGTTTGTAATTATTATATTTTTATTTTATAACTTCAAAGGGCTGAACCTTTTTTGTGTACACTTTTGTACTAAGGTAAGTTGGATTAAATCAATCAATCAATTTATTTTTGTCCCCGAAATGCGTGATTTCATTTATGATATACCTTTTTGAAACACCCTGTATTTGTCACCTTGTCAGATATTTTTATAAAACTAAATGTAAGAGTAATTTTTAATTAAGTTACTCTATCGCTTATTTATGTGTCTATATAATGTTTACTACATGTATTCATTTTTCAACTCTTCTCTTTTCTGTACTAATCATGACATACATTGTCGTATCCAAAAATTTAATTTTCCTGTGATATTTATTAGAAAGGAGCAACTGAAGAGAAAAAGACAGCAGTCAAAAAATCTACTGCCAAAAAAGAAGACTACGATATTAATGCTTGGGAAAATATCCCTGATTACGACAGACCGGTGTTGGAGAAATTTGAAAAACATGATGCTCCAGAGTATGCCGGTAGAGAAAAAAGTAAATTCTCTAAGGTAATTCTGACTGTCTGCTACTTTAGCTTCGCTGTTACATATATTCAATTGCTATATAAAAAGAGCTTGAATCCTGCTTTGCGGCTACTTTTTTGAAAAAATAATTCTAGACAGCTAATTTCGTTTAGGACAAACCATCTATTGCAATCGAAGGAAAAGAAAAAGCTCCTTCTCAGTCAGCTATATCTGAACAACCTAGACCTAGCCTTCCTCAAATTAAGACTCCAGATGCACCCAAAATCGAAGTGAGTAGGGAAAAGACTCCCGAACCCAGAAAGAAATCTCTCGAGCCTGGTTCAGGTCCAGGAAGTCGCAGAGGATCTCTTATTCCTCCAGAAGCCATGGGCAGACGTGCCAGTCTTATCATCTCCGACGAGGTAATAAATAATAATACTTTTCTATGTTTTAACAATTTCTTTTACATTGATTCTGTAGCTGTATCTGTTCGTGTCCCGATAGATGTGGAAAACGTCTCTCTTATGTATTTATGTTTTAACTTTTATGTCTTAGGAACGTAGGAAACTTCGTCCAGGAGAGGTTTTAGAAGAAAAAAAGGTAACCACCAGATATAACCTACAACGTACGCCTGCGCCTTATTTAATTTATTATTTATATCTCATGTGGAAGTGCAAAGAATATTTTAAGCTTTTTCTTATTATGACTCTGCAACAACTGCCAAATATATATCAATTTAGCTCATTTAGATCAATAGTTTTTGTTTATATTACCTCTTTTTAATACTTTAGATATATTACACCTTTATCTATTGTTTTCCTTTTTTATTTACAGGGTTTTTCTTTGTGTTGTCTCGATCTCACTAAAGAATGCTTTTCAGGTGATCCGTATCTTCACCCACAAGTTCAATCTAATTTCATTACATTATTAGTATTATTTTCATGATATTTAGCACCTTTATATAATTTTATTTGCTTCAATTATCTACCGAATGAATCATAAATAATTAGCCAAATTATAACTTTATGGTTAAAAGGCAACATACTAATAATTTACTCAACAATAACGTTATTTTGAAATGTTCTATTAAAATATTTTATTCCTGTTATACCCAAAGGAATAATACATAAACCATTAAACCACCATATTTCCTTAACCCTAGAATACTAACGTCTTTAGCATACGTAAATGCTAACTATACGTAAAAGGACTTTTATGGAAATGATTTGTATTAGCAAAAGTGAGATTAATTTAAACAAAAGATCAGAAATTCAAAATCTAAGCAAAATTTATAATTATATTATTTCTACGTAGTTTAATATTATTATGAAACCAGTAAAATATCACATTTTGATTTAATTTTCCATATATTTGTTACATTTTTTCAGGCATCTATCAATGGTGAATAAATCTTCTTCTTTTTTGTTACTAAACAAAAAAGAATTTATAAAAAAAAATTATTTCTGGCAATATAATTGTCAAATATAAAAATTTTAAGTTGGTATTTATGACATTGAGGCTAAATTGTAACTGTCACTATTCAAATTTATTTAAAAATTCAATTGAAGAAACTTTTTCAAAATTGTATTAAAGTTTCAGAGAAGCATTTATTAGATTAGAACATTTTTATAATATTTTTTGAAATATGTTAGCAGCATTTTTATATACTAAACTAATTTTATTTAGTGAGTTAACAAAAATTTTTTTTCTAGTTCAACTTTGTAAGATATTTTATATTTTTTAGCAGCTCTTGATAATAATTGTACCGGGTGGTCCAATAAGCCGATCTCTCGGCTATATATCAGAAACTATTCATGTTATAACTTTAGAAGAAAAATTTCCTTAGTAAAAGTGGCCAAGAGAAATCGCTGGAATTAACTTTCAAGATTCTTGGATTAACCGCTAGGGGCGTAACCTGCGAAGAAAATTTCGAAAACAGTTTTTTGGGAAATATGTCCAATTTATACAAGTATTAATAAGTAAACTAGAAAGAGGCATAAATTTTGCACAAGTTGTTTAAGTACTTTTTTTTTATTTTTTCAATAAAATGGGAAGAGTGGAAAAGTAGTTGTGGGATAAATACCTAAACTTTGATGTGAATCAACGATTTAACAAATTGTGTATTAGAAAGAGGTGGATGCATTAATTTATACCTTCTATAAAATAATTGCGATTAGTTTTACATTGTCGAGTAGCGGGTCCTTGAATACGAAAAATTAAAAATTTGTTTTTCTCAAAATTTTTAATGAAACACCTATTTATTGTAAATTATAATGGAACTGAATTTAAAATTCGTCTACGAATGGCGCAAACCGCCTGTTCAATAGCTTTTATCGAACTCGAGATATGATAAAAGCGATATAACATAAGTAAGTATAGTATTGACCACCTGTATTATTAAAAATAAATTAAACAATAAGTCGTAGGTACTTTCAAAATTTTTATAGCAGAAAACTTCTTAATGTTGATACCTATTTTGAGCATTTGTTATTTCATATGAATTAAAAATTGTTTTTCGAACTAAGTAGGCTTCGACATGAATTTGACAGGGAGTCATATTGATTTATTTATTGACAGCAGTCAAAATATTGTTAAAAATGATATATGTATTATAATTTCGAAATTAAAAATTGCACTTTTTTTAATAGATATTAATATTTTTAATATTAGTAATTCATTATCAGTACTAATAATTCGTGATGAGTATATCAAATTTTATGATATGATGGGAGTTTATTTCGAATATCACCAAAATGGCGCTATTGCCTCACGTATATATTCTGTAAGATATCCTGTCAGGAGATATTGTGACAAAGAAGTAGAGATTTCGGACTACTTATATGTGGATTCTGTTGAAATAAAACAAGAACATTGATTGAATTATCTTCCGTCATAACTCTACTTTCTTTCAAATACTTCTTTGCCATAATGTCTCCTGTCACGATATCTTACAAAATATATACGTAAGACAATGGCGGCATTTTGGTAACATTCGAAATAAACAACAATCATATCATACAATTTGATATGCTCATCACGAATTATTTGTACTGATAATTAATTACTAATATTATCAATATTAATATCTATTGAAAAAAGTGCAATCTTTAATTCGAATTATAATATAGCACTTCTTAACAATGTTTTGACTGCTGTCAATAAATAAACAATATGAACTCCCCGTCAAATTCATTGTCGTAGTCTACTTAGTTTCGAAAAAACTATTTTTTACAAAATAGGTATTAACATTAAGATTATTCTGCTATAAAAAATTTGAAAATATCTACTGGCTTATTTTTTAAGGTAATTTATAATACAGGGTGTGTCAGTACTGTACTTACTTATGTTTATGAGTTTTTATTCATATCTCGAGTTCAACAAAAGCTATTAAGATGCGGTTTGCTCCATTTTGTTACGAATTTATTCCAGTTCCATTATAATTTACAATAAATAGGTGTTTTCATTAAAAATTTTAAAGAAAAACAAATTTTAATTTTTTTTATTTGAAAGTCCCCTCTACCTACGACTATGAAAACTAAATGCAAGTATTTTATAGTAGATGTGAATTAATTCATCCACATTGTTTTTAATGACACTAATTTCATTAAAATCGGTTGGACCGAACCAAAGTTATAGGTATTTATCCACAAATACTTTCCCACTCTCCCCCACCCTTTATTTGAAAAAATAAAAAAAAAAAGTACTTGAACAACTTTGTGCAGAATTTATGCCCCTTTCTAGTTTACTTATTTAACACTTTTTATAATTGGACATAGTTTCCAAAAAACTGGTTTTCAAAATTTTCTTCGCAGGTTACGCCCCCTAGCGGTTAATCCAGAATCTTGAAAGTTATTTCCAGCGATTTCTCTTGGCGACTTTTACTAAGGAATTTTTTTCCTAAAGTTATAACATGAATAGTTTCTGATATATAGCCGAGCTGAGAGATCGGCTTATTGGACCACCCGGTACACACAATTGAAAGCTCGACTAAAAAATAAAGGTGGCAGTGAATAAAATTAAGGTAGCTATGATGGTAATCAATTTTCTGAAAGGACATGTTACATGAAGAAGAAGAAGGGATCGGTTTTATGCGCTTTAAATATCGTTTGACTGAGATAGCAATATTTACCATTGCAATAATTTCCACTCCTTAATATTAAGTAATATATTACTGTTTTGTCTTGTGAACATATAGTTTTAATTAGGTTCGTCATTTATGATTCATTTTTTATATGCCATTACCCATATTTACCTAGTTGAGACTATATAGAGAGATACAAGGTACTCATTTTCCAGTTTTATGATTGTATACTATCCATAAGTGTCGAAGTTTCTTTAATATGTTTCGGTGTAGCTTGTTGCGGAGTCATCCACTCTAAAGTTTATTTTAAGACACGGAATTGAAGCTGTGCGATTGCACTGAGACTAATGCATTATGTGGTCAACTCTTGTTTCGATCAGCAACTCGCATGAATTACTGCAGAGCACCAGCCAATCAGCAGCAACCAAATCACTTTTTTTTGCAGGAATCGAGTATATATACACACACTCTCTTGAAATATTCATGTTTCATTCAGACATAAGGAAACATAACTATAAATATAAAGCCTATGTATACAGGGTGGTCCTTAAGTAATTGTACAAAAAGAAACCGTAGATTCTACACTTTAAAATATTACGATTTAAGTCAAGTTGCTTTAATAAAATGTTGATATTTAGAAAGATACAGGGTGTTAAAGTGGAAATTTAAAATTTTATTTTTCGCTATAACTTTCTTGTTTGCCAACATTTGTGTATAAAAAATTACAACTGGGTACTGTTAAATATGATAAATTATAATTTGATGTATACTTTGATGTAACTGATACAGGTCGCCACATATGCCACATATGTGGCATACAATTGCACGTAACTTTTTTACTATTAAAGCTACCGGTATTTTTATTAAAAAATATTAAAGATACATTATTTTAACAAAAAAAAGTATACTTGTTAATATCTTCAAAACTCAACAGTTTTCGAGATAATCGCATTTTAGAAATCAACTACATAATTCTGATTTATCGCAATTACTCCAGGCAACGAAAGAAAATTAAATAAAAACATCAATACTTCTGAAATTTGGTATAAAATACCTTTAATAAAGTTAATAGTTAATGAATTATTAAATAAAATAAATATATCAGCAGGATAAAATAATAGAATTTGATAAATAACAGAATAATTGGATTTTACATAAATATTTTACGTTTTGTATTAAATTCAAGTCATAATCAAAACATTTTATTTACAAAACCAAATTAAGAAATAGTTAAAGTAAATAACATTAAACATTTTGTCAAAGTAAGTGTTCAATATGTCCACCATTTTCTTTAATTCATTTGTCAATACATTCCATAAAATATCGTTTCATATTAAATAG